AGGGACTCAGAAGCAATAAAAAAATTTAAATATAAAGGCATTTCAAAGCGTACAGTGAGGCTTTAGACTGACGATACAAGAGACCCACACAGAGCAACTTGAAAGGGAGATGAAGGAGATGACTCAATTCATGTGTGAGTGGGTGCGTGTGTGGGTGCATGTGTGTGTGTGCGGGCATGCACATGTGTTTGTGTGTGTTCCTGATATTTGGCTGAACATGAACACACAAGTTAGTATTGGAATTATAATTAAAACAGAGCGCAGTGGTGCATGCCTTCATAACTTCAGGCTTTATCATGGCCTATTGTTTAGTAAAGGATTGCCAGGCCTGTGTACATAAGAAAACATTCCAATGACACCAGCTCATGGGACACAGTAGAAGCATCGTGCCTCAGTTCAGTCTGTAAGTTGCTGCTGAACATTGCTCTGTTGAGCCCAACGCTGACTGAGGACTGGCCATTTTCAGAATTGGTAGTCTTGCATGCTTTGACTAAACAAGCCGAAATAATTATCTCACCAAATGAGAAAGTGACAAAGAAAAACCCAATGGAAGTTCAAAGGCACTCAACCTCCTTATTTGCCCTGGGTCCTGCTCTGGCTGCCAATATTAAGGGTATTGTTTGTATCTTTTCACTGTAATAGCAGTGAGAGCAAACAAGCTAACAGAAATATTGGGCACCATTGGGAAAAATGTTATTAGATTTGACTTGATATAAAGAGATATAATTACAATTACATTACATTAAAGCTCTGGTGACTGCACTCGTGTATTGAATAATGAAGAAAATCAATGGTGACCACTGATTTATCATCAGAATTCATTTGTCAACTTGTTTTATGTCCCTTGGTCCAGAAGCACAAAAATCCTGACTAAGAATCATTCATAGATTCAATCTGTTGTCAATAAATGAAAAACTACCCATTTTGAAAAAAAGGCATAATAGAGAGTTGAAACTATGATTCATTTGACTGACTGAGTTCTGATCATGTGATTGCAGTTACACGAGGAAGGTGTCATGTACATCTCATCAAATGTGTTTCCACACTTAAACAGTTATTATATCATTTATTATTAAGTTGAGTTAATGTAATTACACCGTAAAGTGTGTTCAAGATTAAGCAGATTTAATTGGATGGGCAAATTTCAACCTTGTGTTTGGTTCACAAAATAATACACTACTCATTAAAATAATGTACTGAGACTGGAAATGAAAAATCCAAACTTGTGTCAAAACAGTCAAATAAAGCTAACTCAGTTATCCACATATAAAGAACAGGGCCCGGGTTTGATCACACAGTCACTGCCGCTCATGGACTGTGTTACACAGCCATGACTACAAACACAATCCAATTAAATGACTTTGCTGCTTTCCCTTCAACTAATATGAACTATTCAGAAAATGCAAATACAAAATAAACAATAAAGTAAGTTAGATTATAGGAGTTAAAAGTGAAACATTACAGGCCAAACTGTTTAAAACACTGTTAGAAACACCAACAAAAACCCCAACTCATACTCATTCATAATCAGCTCAATAGTGTGTCCCCACTTTAACCCATTAGTCAATTTGTTGATGTTGGAGGGTCACGGTTTGGAAGGGTTGATATCTACCCAATTATTTCTGTCCCATTCAATGCATGTGCTACTCTCTTGATTCCTCAAGCATACGGAGGAAAATCAAGAAATGAAAATAAAAAGAAGGTTGTAATGAGAAGATTGTAGAGAATCAACATAACATTATATTAGGCTTTCTGGTCTGTTGTGTCCTATTAGTCACCTGTCCTACTGTCTCTGTCTCCTCTACGGCACCAACTCTGTCATTTATTGACAACCAGCCACCTGGTGAAGCTTCAAGGGGAAAATATATGCATCATTATTAAGAAATAAAAAGGTCTCAGTGTCGACTCAGATGGTTTTAATGTACAGGAGTGTCAGAGTGTGTAAATGCATGTCCACATTACTGAGAGAACAGGGGAGGGTGTGTGAGGGCGTCTCTCAGAAGTCAGCACTGCATGCAATGTTTATCCACCACATATTGAGCAGTGCTGACCAGAAAGCCCCAGCGGGGCCATTTGACCAGCTGGTGTAATACTGGAGTATACACACAACCCTAAACACAAACACTTCTCTCTCTCACACACACACACACACACACAGCAAACACACTCATTCTCTCATAACTGCACATACATCATTCTGTGGCAGCCCTTCCATTTTGCTCCTCTCCTCCACCTCACGCCTCATCAGACATATTATAATTAGCTGTGCTGAGTAATTAACATCCAAATTAGGACATTCATTTACATATCTGCCCTCATTTGCATATACTCCTAGCATCACACAGATCTGACGATCCTCCACACACTTAGAAATGCCACTACAAAGCACAAGGGTACTCAGTCTTTTTCAACGCAATTGCCAGCTGCCATTGAAACTCATGCACAGACCTCTTTACACATAGCAAACATGTATTTCTTTCACCTTTGTGAGGGATTAATAAACCAAAACGACAGATGGTAAGTAAAGAACGGAGGTTTGAGTTGGAGGGAGGCTGAGAAAAGACACAACGGGAGTAAAAGACACCAAAAATCTGTACAGGCCAGCAAAGGGAGAATATAAATGGGACTGAGGAGGGGGTCTGTAATAGAGGTACCCAGGATAGAGTGAGAATTTCACACTCTCCAGATGAGAAAAGGCAAAGTAAGACAGAAAGAAGACTGCCTCGCCATTTACACATCTCACTTAAGCCCATAAAACTTTGAAATTGAATCCATGGCTGTGCAGAGAGACAGAGAGAGAGAG